GTGAGCTGGAGGGTTGTAATACAATAGAAAGCAATGATTAAATTCTCCGTGAACTTAGAGTCCTCAGTAGTTACTACCCTTAGGCTAAATATGCTGTTTACTTGTATCCTGAGTTCTCAAAAATGGGATATATAATGAATTCCGGTCAGGAAAAATTTCGCCCGGTATATTAACTTTATTACTCTTGAATAAGATAATGATGAATCTGGTTCGGCTAACAAGAATGACCACTGGACTGTGGCCAGATTTAACAAACCACAATCCTTTGCCTCCTTCGACTGATTAGGTTTGCTAGTCTTCTCCAGTTCAGTTCAACTCTATGGGTTTACTCCCTCATTCTGATAACCCTTCTGGGCGCTGAACTTTTTCGAGGACTTCGGCGTCGAGAATTAGATATGTAGTGCAGGTTGTCGAGTAGTACCCAAAGTGTGATGAAGCGGAATCCGCTTCAAGTTGGTCATTAACGAATCACTTAACTAGGCCGTGAAAATTGATGCAAGATTCCGCGATAGATGGCAAACAGGCTGTTTGGGCTTCAATGGTAGCTGGATATATTGTTGAATTTTCAGTTTGAATGCTCACATTTCCTTTGCTCGTAGTGATCATTGTGTTCTTATTTGGGAGTATGATCGTTTTTTGTATTAAAAATTTGAGAAGTTGAAAAAGGAAAAGTAGGGAACGAGGAATCGTCAGAAATTAACTGCGAAGCTGCACAAGTACCTGACAAAAGCTTAGTCTTGCTCCTCTTCAAGAACTTACTTCGATACTAGGGGAAAGGTATTGCTTGCCCAGGGGAAGTCATTCATTTTCATATCCAGTAGGTAAACTCTTCACTGAAACGAACTTCAAAATGCAAATGAGGCTGTAAAAAGTACGCCAGTTTTCAAAAACCAGTGTATTTCTCTGATTTAAAAAAACATTTTACTTTGTCTGAGGCATGTAGGAAGAAATGAACTTCAGTTCAATCAAGAATGGTTAAGCTGTTTTCAGAAAATCTAATAATATTCTTTAGTAATATGAGTAGGTTGAAAAGCAACCTAGACTCCATTCCTTGGCTGCAGAATTATTAAGGTAAAACGTGGTCTAGCAATGCGGATAAGACAAAAGTTTTAGCATATTTCTTTGCGCTCGTGTGTACTGAGTAGACGGCTGCTGGTAGGAGATTGTAGTCCTGCTTACCACATCTAGAGTTAACGGGTTGGAAGTAGTTTACAGCCGGATGAGGGCATGCTTGGAGCCGT